AAAAACACTCAAATCCCATTTCTCAATAGTACAAGTATTGGTAACACCGGCTGTTATCTATTGCTTGTTACTCATTCCCCTATTCCCAACTCTACGATCTGTACGAGGTTTGGATTGCCCTGGCAAACAGCTACAGGAAGCTCGAGTAAGCCTCAAAGTGCATTTGTCCTGAGCATCGATAGAAAAACAAATCTCAGATTCCTTTTGATTCACTTTAGTCTACGGCTATAGCACTACGAGCCTTTATCGTAAGTAGCATAAGCCTGACACCGAGGGTGCGCCTTACTTTCCACACCGGCCCGGCTTGTTCTCAGGTAGGGTTCGGGCAGGTGCTGCAGACTTTGGGTCAGCCTCGGGTAGACCCGAAAACCCGACTAGGTAGCAGGGGGCTAAGGGTTAGGACGCAGGGCAGAGTCCGGATCGGAGACAACTATCCTCCTGAGTCCTGACCCCATTCCTCCCTAACTTTATTTGTGATTAGTGTAGTTGTCAAGGGGCCAGTTTGATGCCTGGCAAGATGTCAAGGGGCCAGTTTGGTGCCTGGAATGACTGCATCATGTCCCTCCTGCATTCAAATCCCCTCAATGTCTAATTGTCAAACAAAAAAACACACCTTGCCTGGTTGAACCGAGCCCCAACGCGGTTCAACCCGGATCCGATTTAGTTTTAACAGAGTCGGGTTTGTGCAGCATTTTTTACAATGCAACCTGACCCGCCCCGACCCACATTGCTTATTGGGTTGGGTTTGGGCACTGTTTTTTGACCCGAACCCGACCCGTTTGCCACCCAACATGCATCTACCTAATCTAATTATGATAGCCTAAAAACAATCAATAAAAAACATTGGTTCTTCCTTCATGTTTTACCATCTGTTCTGTTCCAGTGAGACATCTCTTGCTGCTCCTTTTCTATTTCAAAAAAAACTGGACTTGTGTCAGTTGAATTTTTCTACAGGTGCCTACTGGCCTAGGAAGACTCCTCTTTTTCAAGTGGCTCAATCTAGGGGTGAGGATGGGTTGGGTCGGGGCAAAAAAATGCTGACCCGACCTGCCCCAAAAATAAATGGGTCAGGTCAGGTCGGGTTACTTTTTCAAAAACTTCTGCCCCGCCCCGCCCCAAGACCCACAGCTTGGGTCATGGGTCAGTGTGGGCTAACCCATGGGGCTACCGTGATTTTATTTTTTCTTGAGGCAGAGGTTGTTTTTTTTGGGGGGGGGGCATGATGCCTTCTTCTTTGCATCATTTATCAAGTGTATATATTCGGAGAGAAAGATTAAGAAACAAAGAGAGGTGAATGGAGAATGGAGAAAAATAAAAAAAGAAAGACAACTAGATCCATCATTGGCCAGCTACTCTGGTTAATCATACTATCATTGTTCATGTCTCATATTGGGACTTGGGAGTTGTAACTCCCGTGTGTCAATAACTCAGCATGCCAGGCAAGTTTCAACAAAAGCATGCATGTTGAAACTTGGCCTCCTCATGGGTCGACCCATGGGTAGTCCATTTTTGGAAAAGCCTGACCCAACCCACCATGGGTCACCTAGTGGGCCAACCCAACTGGGTCAAAAAATTGGGAAATCCGGGCTTGTGCCGCCCCACCCCAACCCAGATTCCAGCCGGGTTGGGTCAAACCGTGGGTCAACCTGACCCATCCTCACCCCTAGCTCAATCCCAAGGATGGTTAAATAATCAATTTCATTTCTTTCAACCATATTTGGAAGGAAAACACCTTAGTTTCTGAAAAACATGAATGAAGTCTCAGGTCCCTTTTGATAAAACCATCACAAGGCATTAATCTAAATTCCCAGAAAATTTGCATTTGAGTTGATGGTGGTTAGGGCAGTAGCATCTGCCATGATACAGCTTGATCCTTTGGAAGGTTTAACACACAATTTCAATTTACAAGTCTTGTATGTGCTGGAGAATGCACTAGTGCAAATGGGCTTATGAATGTGAATAATCAAACTAAAGGCAAACAACCCAAGTTTCTCAAAGAGAAAAGAAAAGTGATCTAGAAAGAGAAAATAAAAGCAATATAGAAAGAGAAAATCAAAGGAGAAGATAACAGGACCAACAGGCTTTCTTGAGGATGGTCAATGAGTTGACAGGAAGGTAAGCACTAAGTCAGTTGGAAAAGTTCAGGCAGAGGGACTGGGAGATCTGATGAATTTAAGATAACTGATGAGAGATCACACATTGAGGTTACAGATGATAACATTTGACTTCCACCAAGAGGAAAGTCCAATAAGAAAAGGAAAGGAGAAAAGTTTATATATTTGATGGGTAAGGTTTTGCAAGAGAGGGAGTTTCGACCAATGGTGTCATGAAGTCAAGGCTGTAGATTTGTTTTAGTTGATGACAATATGGAGAAAAAAACCAGAAGAATGTTGAAAATAGTAGACTGTGAGTGGTTTGAGCTTGGAGGTAGATGGATTATGCATTAAACAATGACTTCATAGCTTAATCTTAACTTAAGGTTGGCTTGACTGGTTTTAATCTGTTTGCCCGATGTAATTTTCCACTCAGTGTGACTGGTGTAATGCTAGTCTTCACTCAGTGTTGATATGGTTATGATCTCAGTAATCTTCTATCTTTTTAATTGAAATGCTTTGTTTATTTTTTATTTATTTGTGCTCTCTTGATTCATGTATGTATAATCTTGTTCTCATTATTTTAGTTGTGATTTATCTTTATAATATCCATTTATGCATTTAATCTTATTTTATATATTGACTGTCACAGTCAAGAGTGTCACTACATATTTTACACTCTTTCCTGTTGAAATTGCTGCTCCAGTTCATCTCGACAAGTCATTTTTAGCTTCAACCTCATTACAGCAAGAAGAGAAGAGCCCATTCAAAGCAAAAAAGTCCTCTTAGACTTCTCCTTTTTTCCCTCCAGTTTTATTTATACAGAATCATCTAGTTTAAATCCTAGCAACTGATCATGGAGAGCATTCGATAATAATTACTTACTTAGAAATACCTCCTAAGAAGAGTTTGATTACTAAGCAGTTCTAGATATTCAAACACCTCCTTCAACATTACCTTAGCCTCCAGAATTCCAATTGGTAACAGATATTTGTTACCCATTTGTGTTACACCCTTATTGATTCCCAATCCAACAGTTGTCAAGATCTTGGATTGCCTTCCTCTCTGCCACAGAAAGCTTGAGTAAGTCTCAAGAGCTTTGACCTGAGCATCAATAGAATTACTAGATCTTATTGTCATTCAGGTCTAGTCTACAGTTGTAACACTGCAGATTTTGTGAGTAGCATAAATCAGACAAGCAACACAAAAGTAGTGAGCAAGAGGCAGTAATTGGAGCAGCAACACAAACACACAAACACAGTGGGTGTGTTGGAAGGATGAGCAAAGCTACTCAAGCACAAATAGTGAAACAAAATAAGAAAAAAGGGTCAACTTTCTGTCAAATCTGGGACCCTTTCAGATGTCAATTTAGACCCACAAAGTCTATATTTTTGCTGGGAAGTCTAGCTTTCAAGGCTCCAAGTCAATTCTGGGAGACAGATTTTGACAGGAAGTCTTCCAATATTCAATTTGAAAAACATAACATCTAGTAGAAATTGTTAATGGATGAGTGAAAGAGTCAAAGAGGGAAAGACTCGATGAGTTTTTATTTCTGAATGAACAAACTCAAGCTTTAAATAGTGAAAGAAAAGATGCTACAAGTGAGATAAAACTGAGTATAAACATATTCTAATAATGACTAAAGAGTATGACATGAGATATGCTAATAATGAGAAAATGAAAAAGAGAGAGCTGAAACACATGAATACTAACAGAAATGAGTTTTTTTTTTCATTTTGATGGGTCAGAATTGTTTTTTTTTTTGAAAATTCATGAATTTTCAAGATCTGGGTAGGTTATGGTAATGTACCACCAGGACCAAAAATTATTTCCAGGGGGCTGGTGGGCACTGCTTTCTCCAGGTTAATCAGCAGTTGTTTCATGAATATGCTCACACAAAAATCCAAGACAAATGGGCAAAACCCAATAAAACTTTGTGACTGAGACCAAAATCAAGGCTTCACTAGATATGCCCACTTTGGAACACCACAAACGGACTTTTTCAAGAGGACCACATGGGCCAAAATTATCAATGATCAACAGCTCTTACAAGTGTATAATTTTGGTTTTTTTTGCCCTAATTTTCACATTTTTTTTTGAACACCTGCCAATTAGGGGGGCTTGCCGGGGTCCCCTGTCTGAGCCGTTTGACGTCGGATCGTTCCCGGAAGAGTTCTCATGGTGCTCTTAAAACTTAACGTGATAACTTCAATGGCTTGCGACATTTCACATCGCAAGCTCTCTTGATTCCCTGCGGGCATCGTCGGTCCAGACCTGTCCAGTAATCTGATCGAAGTGAGTATTATATTGAGCTGTCGCTGCAAGGCGGCCATTTCTCCTCAACTGGCCGGATTCATCCGGTTTAAATTTTGGACACTTTGTACGATTGTTATGTGCGAGCGGTGTCAGTCGGCTCGGCATTATCAATCGATTGATTCCCGTGTCCTTCTTTTTTCTTTGCAGTGATTCGAAGCTGGTGTGACAATGGAACCCTCCACCGATGTCGAGCCTTGGCCATCGGACATCCCATCCTCGTATCAAAGCCATTTCAAATTCCAAGCAGCTGCACCGGTGAACAGCGGTGTAATAGAATCTGGCAGCAATTTGTCCTCGTCTCGTACTACAGCTTGAGAGAACGCAAGTTCTTTGCCGGTGATCCCAATTCCCGGCCGGTGTCCCTCCTCGATGCACCGAGTCCCGACTGTCTTGAGCAGCTGGGAAAGGCTTGGAAGCTGGAGAGACGTAAGTTGTGTGGGCATACGGAAAGATCTATAAAACCAGGCCTCGTTTCTCTTGGACGGTGTTCCCCAGTTCATCATTCACCAGTACATACTACTCCAGAATCATAAACCAAATTTTCTTACCACAGTCGTTCCTTTCAGCTAAACAAAAAACTTCAGCCCTATCATGATGTTCTCCACCGTTTACGTTGCTTGCCTCTTGGCCGTCTGTACGTTTTGAATGTCTTGCTCAAGTCTCACTCGGCACGTCGATCCCTTCGAGCTGACACACACCCTGTTGTTTCTCTTTCTGTTTCGTCTGCAGCCGCCCTTGCTTCCCCTACCCAGTAAGTCACCGTTACTGTCCTGCTGCTTTTGCCCGCTTCTTTTTTTCTGACGGTCTGCTCCCAACAGGCACAACCCCCGTGGTCTTCCCGGAAGCTACTTCATGCAGGACCAAGACCAGGCCCAGTCCAACCATGCCGCAAGCATGTCGAGCACCCCTTGGGGCCAGAGTTCCAGCAGCGTCGACGAAGACAGCCATTCTCATTCGCACGTCGAGGGAGGCTCTTTCGGTGGTCCCGCGATAGGTGGTTCCTTTGGTGCCGGTGGTGCCAGTTCCTTTGGTGCCGGTGGTGCTAGTTCCTTTGGTGCCGGTGGTGCCAGTTCCTTTGGTGCCGGTGGTGTAGGTTCTTTTGGTGCCGGTGGTGCAATCGATGCCGGCTTCAACGGCGCGTCGTCCTTCGGCGCCGGTGGCATCGGTGGCTCCATGGGAGGTGGAGCTGGGATCAACTCGATGAATGCCGGCCAGTTCAACTCCATGAACTCCAACCAGTTCAACTCCATGACTGCTAACGGGATGTCGAACGGCTTCTCTGGCGGAATCGATCCCTCAATGATCGGCGGCGGCGTGAGCGGCGGTGCCATGTCCACCATGACCCAACAAAGCTACAGCTCCAGCTCGGTCATCAACATGTTCCAGAGCCTGAACAGTTTCATGAGCCAGATGCAATCTAACCTCATCGCTGGTCAGATGACCCAAGCGATCGCCATGCAGCGAATGCAGACTTTCTGCCGGTACTTCCAGATGGCCATGCATCAAGCCTCCTTCTGCTCCCAATGCTTCAGCGTAAGCGGAGTCATCCTGTCAGAATACCTTCTCCCCGGACCAGCTTAAGATTCTCATTCTCATCTCCTCACAGGGCAACCAATTCGGCGGGATTGCTTCCAACACCATGAGTCAGTTCACTACTTTCTTGCAGCAACTCCACAGTACCTTCGGCGCAAGCAACTTTGGCCAACTTGTAGCCCGTAAGTTTCCTCAATTGTCTTCCAATCCCAGGTCCTAGTCTTGATTCCCATCTGTTTTCGCAGCCCTCACCCCGCTCCAAAACACCTTCAGCAAATTCCTCTACAAGGCCTCCAGCTCCCGCTCTTCGTCCTTCACCTCCAACTCTTTCATCCCCTCTGCCTTGCCCTCTCTCCTCGCCCCCGCCATGCCCCAGGTCGCTCCTATGCTCAGCCAATTCAACAAGAAGTAAAGCATTCCTTCTCACTCCCGATACATGTTCCCCCCTTAGTATCGCGTGATGCTTGAAGTTGTTCTCTGTTCGCTATTCCTTGAATCCCTTCAAAGCCTCTTCGAAGTTGTTGCTCAGTCTGTTGTCCCCTTCTCGCTTGACTCTACTTGAAGTTTTGTTCTGCTGTCAGCTCTCTCTCTCTCTCTCTCTCTCTCGCCCTCTCTCTCTCTCTCGTGCATAACTACGCACAGACTCTTCTTATTCTTCCAAGATACACACAGACAATATCACGTTATTCTCCCTCCCACTGTCTCTTGAAAACCAAAATGAACCCTAGGGTTTGCGATGACAATCCTCAATCCACATTTTTCAGAGTCCCCACAATCCTCGACCTCTGAGCACAACAAGCAGTGATCGGGGGTTGTTAAGGTCAAGGAGAACGAAACGTCGTGAAGCTTGAGTCACAGACGAGTGTCGTCCGTCCCAATGCGAGCCTCCTTGCGGCCACAACCCTGCCAGGCTACTGTGTGAGTGAGTGAAAGTGAACTTGCTCGGCATTGGGCTAGGGTTGGCGGCGCCATTGTTGAGCTGGGGGCGCCAAGGCGCGCCTTTTGCAAGCCCTCCAGGGCGCGCCCACTGGTGGGGGCGCCAGGGCGCCGCTGTTTGGTTTATTGGGACTAAATATGGCGGAAATAAGGATCTTTCCTGTTTTTTGGGTTTTTTTTTCTTAAATTCCTTATCAATAAGGCACAAAAAACATTATCAGTCTCAATCAATGGGGAGCAAACATCCATAGGTCCCAGCCACCATCATTATTGTCAGTTGCTGGGCTACTTA